TGGGGAAAGTAAATACCGTAATAAAGCTACCATTACAGGATTGTCCAACTTTCTAACAGTCGGTGAGTAAACTTACTTACCATTGGCTCTTTGTCAGAGATACTTTGCCAGTGGGTGTGTTGTGTGTATATCGATACTGTTAGTTCAGTTTAGAGAGGTGGAACACAGCCCAAAATGAACAGAGATACTTTGCCAGTGGGTGTGTTGTGTGTACGTCAGTACTGTTAGTTCAGTTTAGAGAGGTGGAACACAACCCAAAATGTACTGAGATACTTTGCCAATGTGTATGTAATTTGTGTGTACGTCAGTGCTGTTAGTTTAGTTTAGAGAGGTGGAACACAGCCCAAAGTATACTTTGTCAACTGCCATTGGAATGATTTCGAGAAAAATGCAAAAAACAAGATTTTTTAAAATGTGAGTTGTGTAACATATTTGATACCAGTGCATGCGGAATTGTTTTTTCTTCTAAAATATCGACCTTGTGTTGCTTTGCGATGAAAATTAAAATATTTATGGCGAAAAAACAAACATCGCTGAAAACAGAAGGTGTCTAACCTCACAAATGGACTTAACACCTTTGGACTGTTCTTATTTCTGACTTATTTGTCTAAATTTCGGTGATGCCTTTGATGGAAATGTGTTTTCCCAGACAATTTGAACCACTTGTTTGACTGGACCTTAGGATTGACCCACTGCGTGTGTAAATTGGATTTTAGGCAAGGTAGACAATAATTAAGCCAAGCTACGAGGGAGTCATTGTAAGGGGTCTAACTCCGTACAGATGGAGTGTGTTACGTGTAATAGACTGCCACGAAAACGGCAACAAATAGATCTGCACTTTTCATGACATTCACATTGCTTTTCATTTTGTAGTGCCAAAGTGGAAGGGGTTAAAATATGTTTCATGTTTAAATACAAGTGAAATGGGAATTTTATTAAGAAAATCTAGAGAAAAGTCATTATTCCAAGCATTTTTGTATTCTAAAGGACAACAGAAAAAAATAACAACTTTCAGCTTTTATGCCAACTTGATTTGTGTAGGCAGACTTTGGCCCCCCCACAGCAATCTTTGTTCTTCTTAAAAAGACTTTGAACTTCTTCTATGGTTCAGCTTTGTTCAAATTTTACCTGCACCAAAGCTGGCCCGGGTGTGCTTTGTATTCAGTACTTGTGCCTACATCATTAAAAGTTAGT